ACCATTGTGGACACGACCTGGACACGGCGGAGCATACGCTCGCTGTCTGCCCCGCTTGGGAGGTGCAGCGCCGTGTCCTGGTCGCAAAGATAGGACCTGACTTGTCGCTGCCTGGCGTCGTGGCGTCGATGCTTGGCAGCGATGAGTCATGGAAGGCTATGCTCGACTTCTGCGAGTGCACCATCTCGCAGAAGGAGGCGGCGGGGCGAGTGAGGGAAAGCTCTCCTCACTACGCAGAAACCCGCCGCCGCCGAGCAGGGGGTCGGGACCGGGGTCGTATCCGTGACCTGGCCCCCTAAGAGCTAGGGGTCCCACCCGTTTTGTGCGGGGAGAGATCCAGACGTGGGGTGGCGTGCTTTGCACGTTCACCCGCAATAGGAAGCCGGGTGATGGTGGACCGCGTTCCCCCGACCGCTCTGGGGGAAGGTGTAACGCGGCGCCATCAAAGCGGGCTCTCGGCCCGCTGAACGAGGAACCGGTGGTCGTGTCGCTGGCGGCCACCGTTCTGGCGTCCGTGGGACGGTGGGATGGATGTAATGTGCTCTGCGTCAACCCTGTCCCGCCGTTTCAATAGCCCCGACTGGGCTCCGGCCCGGTCCGAGGTAGGGCGCCGGTTGTGAGCGGCAGGAGTTTTTAGTGAGGTTCAACTCCCACATACCCCACCTGCCGCGCGGGTGGGGATCCGGCGATTTTCTCCTGTGGAAAAAAAAAAAAAAAAAAGTTTTCGTCAAAACTTTTCGCTATCAAACAGTGCACTGACACAACTACCAGAACAATGATGGTTGAATCGACATGGCGCTAATCTCGTCAAGGTCTAAATTAAATAATTTGTCCTCTTCTGCCCTCACGGGGTTCTTGTCATGGAGAATGATGGTATCAACCAATACTGATGGATGCGTAGACCGATCTGCTATCACAAAATCAGTCCCTGGTTTTATAATTATCCTATTCTATTCATCTATACATATAAATAAAATGGGAGTGTCTGTTTATAATATTGAAATAACCGCTTTTTACTACATGTATATTATTATGAATATATATACGGTACATACACCAAAATAACATTTTTTACAATTTTTGTCCGTCTGTCTCTTTGTTCCGGCTAATCTCTGGAACGGCTGGACCGATTTTGACGAGACTTTCACTGATAGGTAGCTGATGATATAAGGAGCAACTTAGGCTACTTTTTTTAGACTAGCTTCGCTCCGCCGCGTCACCCGCGGTACGACAATACCCGCGGGTAGCATCGCGGGACTCAGCTATTAATAATAAAATTTAATGTTTCCGAAGCGAAGCGAAGCGAGGGCGGGTCGCTAGTCCTAACTAAAGCAGATTACAGTAATCTATACAGTACAGTTCACATAAACAAATTACTATTTTATTCGTGTAAACTCCTAATATGTCAGTACAGTTATATATTACAAATGGAATGTTATTAAGAATATTTATCGGTAATGAATGGTGTTGCAATCGACACGCTTAATTTTATTGGTCAGTAAAATGTTTTACACACTTGTCTCAAGCACATACAATAAGACGTATACCCAGTGACTATATAACAACGTTATGTTTTTGTTTGTTTTAATTGTAATTGACACTTGACGGAGCGGAACTAACAGTGGTCTAATCATTAGCCTCTAATGGGTAAGGCGCAGTTGGAACTAAACGCGATTATGCCGTAGTTCGATCTTCTCCAGCAGATTTAAATATTATTCAATAATATCTACTAAATGGATTTCATCTGAAGTAACCGTGATGCGTAAATACTTGTAAAAAAATTTAAAAAAAAAACTGGTATTTGTTGTGATCCATCCAGAGTTGGTACTACCGTTACATTTACATAGGTATGTCTGGGTTAAAACAGTCTTGCGAAGCCTAAAAACCGTAATTTCAATGCAATTAGGATATAAACTTGGTCTTAATGAGGACTGCGACATTCAATATGTGAACTTAACACCATGTGGGCTGTCAGCTCGTCTATCCTTCTACGTCATTTAAATTTCCATCTTAATAGTTCTTAGTCTATTTTATGGTTCGAATAGCTGAATAGCCGGTTTAGAATACAAATCAGACTTCAACTCCATGACTCAAGGAGGGTAGCAGCATTCATGTTGTTAATGCCATGTTGGTAATCACTTAGTACTAAGTGGGCTGTGGGCTTGTCTGCTCTACTGAATCACTGTAAAACAAATGAAGCTATGTTTAATTGACGAACAAGGCTTTGTAAAATAGCATTCAGTTTTGCTATACAAAATTCACATGTATTTATTTAAAAAGTGAATTAATAAATTTAAACTTAGCCGCCATTACACACCGCACAGCGACATCTGTAGCAACGTGAGTAAACCCACCTTCTTAAATCGTAATGAAATTTAACGAAACCTAGATGGCGCTGTTCGCAATTTCCCTAAATAAGGAAGTGCATAAATTATATTCTAGGAAAACAAAATAGGGGCAAGTTTACCACAAATTGGAGTGACCAAACGTATTCAGAAATCTCTAACAGAATCTTTAGCATGTTAAAAGTTGTCTTAATTAATAGTAATAAAAGCAAAATGGCGTGCTTGTTTCTAGCCTTTTAATCTATATTTTCACTATTTGTATTAAATATTTTGAATATTTTTTCTTATTAGTTCTCATATTGAATTATTGTTATACATAACACCCCAACAGACTAATTAGAGTATAAAATAATTTACACAGCAGGTATTTTTGGACATTTTTGTTGGGACTGTTGACCATTTTAGACAAAGCGTCTGCAACCATAACCTTAATCAATGAACTTATTTATGATATGTTATAATATATGTGGTAGTAAATATGGTAATAAGAAATAATGTTAACAGTTATAATGTGTCTTTAGAGCCATTTAATGAACCACTTGTTTTACCAAAGTATGCAGTCGGTCCCTGTAATTCTGTTAGCATTTAGTGTGAGTAATATATCTTTTACTTGTAATATTTGTGATGTATATCGTGTTGGTACCCAATAAATAAATTAAATAAAACTCTTTTAAGCAACATAATCTCATATCTAAATATGTAAGTACATAGCTCTAAGTGATACTTATTATTATTGTAGCAACTCAAATTGATTTTATTTATTAAGGTAACCAATTAGTGTTTTCATAAAAAGAGATCTATTTTCTTCCTTTAAAAAAAGTATAAGCAAGATTCATTGAAGTTTTTCGATGTTTACATTATTTGGTTATGTCTTACATTTGCTTTATTTAATAAATATTTTGTGTTTTATGAATATTAAGACAAAAAATGTATCTTTTGGTGGTGTGTCAAGTTTGCTTACCATTGCAATTTATTAAAAGAAGAAATTAAATTTACCTTTGATAGAGGTACTTTAAAACAGATAATTCTTGTGCCTTCTATTACCCGTCCACAAGCATTGTATTTTATCCATCTATAAAATATTAAAATACATATTAATTTCATTGAATACTATTAAAATTCGAACACATTCGGAACCTGTCACCGACCTATCGGGAAGTTTAGGCATATTGCGTATAGGCTGTCTTGTACATACACTGAATTTAGGTAGCTTTTGAGATTACAAATGAAGAATAATATTCTTATATATTCTTAAAAGTATAGGTTAATTGTTTGCGAATTTATTGGTTTACAAAATAAATAGGCAGTTTATGCATTTGGCAGTTTCGCTAGACATTAATGACAAGTGACAAATAGTGACAATCGACGACGTGTGCATTATCTATGGTTTAACCTGTATGGGTGCAGATCCTCTTGCCTTTCGTAATAAGGAAAAATGGTACCAAAAAAAATTTCTATGGTGTAAACATTTCTGAGTGTTGGAAGGTTACATTTGAGGGGATTGGGTTCTTTAGGTGATGAGGGGCTATTTAAAAACACAACTGCTTCATTATAATTATATTGCAGATAGCTTGAACACTTTTACACCATTATACAATTCTTATCTTTATATTTTTTATAAAACTATTACATGTTTGTCTTGCCGTGTCTAGATGAGAAGTCACTGACATTTTCTTACGAAAACACAATGATCTGTTTTTTAAACATTTAAATTAATTCCAATATTCGAAATCTAATCAAGTGTCAAGTGTTGCCTGCCATTACATTTAATATACAAACTCCAACACTGAGGCTATGTTCGACTTTTTGGCGGGAACATGAGGAGTGAAACTGTGTGATTTGTTTTATTTTGTCTATTTTGTGTTTCTTCAAGTTAAATGTGTAATAACGGTGGTTTATTAACCTTTTAATATCTGTAAAAGTGCACAAATGTGGGAAAATGAAACAAAGCCGCTGGATGTAACTTCTCGGGATCCTCCAAAAATCATCCCATATCATCTCATCTCATTTCATTTCATTTAATCCCAGTTGATTAATGTCTCAAATTAATAACCTTCACTTCATTTCACTCCATATTCAAATTTTTCATAAAAATAAGAATTTCATTTAAAATAAGCTATGACTTAAAGCTCTTAGTTACCAGGTCATAAAATACCTTTAAAAAAAAAGAAATCACAGATTGATTATTAAAAAATCTATGTACAATATTTAGAAAATTTTATTACCTATTTGATTTATTTATTGCTGACATTGCTGTACCTTGATATTAATGAAACACAAATATTTGTTTGCTATTAATTAATCAAATAATGAATTTAGATACAAATATAGATAGGATTATTTTGAAATTGAGTTTGCCCTATAAATATTCACCACTAATATGGATTATGAAAAATGAAAAAGAATGAAAACAATTAAAACTTAACAAAAAACCTTCTTATTGTTGAATAATAAAATTACAAATTGTACTTTTACTGCCAGTAAATTAACGATTAGGTATGTACTATTTAATATTAACCTCAGAAAAATATGTTCTGTCACTATGCCTGTTTAATGCTTTTTAATATTGGTTACTATAGAAACAATGAAACGAAAAACTTGTTTGATCGAGACTTTTGAGTCCTGTGAAAATTCCGACAAAAAGCATCGAAATATCCAAAGTGGAACGGCTACAATGTACAAAAACACCATTTGGTATCATACTTTACTAGATGCCGAAAAATCATGTCTCAAGGAAGAAAAAGTTAAAAAAATTCATTATAAGTTCGAAGACGGTAGAGAAATGGTAGAGGAATATAATGTAGATACACAAGTTTTATTACGTAGAGCTTGGAAGGTGAAAGGAAAACTTGATGGTGAAGGAAAATGGCATGTAGAAATTGGTGATCCCATACCCGATGCTATTTCAAATAGTGATTGTGCTGAAATAACTGAATGCAAAGACCAGGTAGATATCTGTGTAATGAATATAAATTTTATATTTTTATAATTAACCCTAGCTAGAATGTTACATGTGCATTTAATTGCTATTAATTACACAGTAGCATTATATTACTGCATTCCTCCATTGTATCTATATAAACAGGAACAGTCATATAAAAGCTTTACCAATAAGTATTATCCTAATACCAGTGCTGACAAAACAAAAATATCATCTATAAAAAATCCTAATCATACCTTAGCTTAGAAATAGTTTTGAGAAATGCTTACAGCCAATATTAAAATTAGACACGTAGTAACATTATCCTGACCTTTAAAAGTAATTACGTTTTACTGCTGAAATTCTTCCTGTCCCTACCCCTAAATTGACTTGTAGGGGAAACTATAATACCACCATCCTATTTATTTGGCTGTCGATTACTTATGGATACCAAGTCTTAAAAGATTACAAAACTATTGGTACATCCACCTTATGTCTCAAAGTCCAAATAATCACAATGTCTATGGATCTGGTAGCCACATAACACTGTTTTAATACAATATCTATATATATATATATATATATATAAATGAATTGCTGTTCGTTAGTCTCACTAAAACTCAAGAACGGCTGGACCGATTTGGCTAATTTTGGTCTTGAATTATTTGTGGAAGTCCAGAGAAGGTTTAAAAGGTAGATAAATGAATGAAAATGCTCGGAATAAAATAAAAAGAACAATTTTGTTTTTCCTTTGATGCGCCCCCTCTCAGATGGATTGTTTTTGTTTGTTTTAAGTTTATTTAATTACAAAAGCTTAGGTCTTTTGTTTATCGATTGAGGCACTACGAAGTCTGCCGGGTCAGCTAGTCATTCAATAAAAATATAATAAAGATTACCATGATTATTTTAATTTTTTGCAATACTGATATAGTAATTCTTACTATAGTGTTTAAATGTTTTTTTTCATGCAGAAAGCTTAACCCCAAAACCATGACATAAGGTTTCCATGCCAACATACCTACCTAGAACTCATACTCCATGCATTGGGTATATAGTTCTCGACTGTCTGCAAATGTTAGGAGTGGACTGCAAGCCTAAGGATGTTTATATGGCCCTATCCACCAAACCACTCACCTGCTCTCTGATTTCCACCCGGGATCAGAACCTGGGCAGAATAGTGGGATTCCAAATCAGAACCAGGCTGCCAGATTGGAACTCGATGATTAAATGGACATATTTTAATTACTTTTTTGGAATTTTAGCCTCAAGTATTCAGGAGGAATACGAGACTAAATTTAGAATGGAGAATAAGAAATCTACCATACCCAATTGAAACATATTCTATTAGTGCAAACAATGATGAAAGGTGCATAGTTATTAGAACAACAAACAAAAAATACTTTAAAAAGTTTAAAATACCTGAACTTGAGAGGCTGAACTTAAATATAGAGCAAGCTAATATACAATCTTCTCATCATTTCAACACATTAATAATTATGGTATGTACAAACTTTTTTCTGAAATTGTTTGCCTAATGATCTGACACTCAGTTTCGGAAGGTCTATGTTGCTGGTTAACTGCCATAGCAATTTAATGAATCAAGGGTGTGATTGTGATGGTGTTGAAATGCCGCAGGATTTTGTTTAATAAAATATGTATTTAACAAATATGTTCATGTAATAATATTAAATTCCACAATGGAAGGAATAACATATAATAAAATTAAACCCACAAAAATAATGATTGGCATAGTTATTTGTGGTAAACTTGTAAGCCTGCACAGGTCACACCATCATCACATATTTTTGCCATGAAGCAGTAATGTATTCTGGTTTGATGGAAGTAGCAGCTGTAATTTATAAAGAAAATGCATTATAAACAATTTATTCTGTTCAAGTACAAGAAACCTCAACAACTACTCGACATGGAGAAGGAATGGTATGAAGAATTAAAGAAGGTAAAACCAATCAAGGACATACCTAATGATTGTAAAACCCAATAAAATTAAACAGTCACTAAGATATCTATGGAGTTTAACTTGAATAAATCAATAATAAGATACTGTCCAATTTATAATTAAAACTTATTATACAAAATACACTTGTAATTGTACAAAGACAAATTGTTTTTTTTAGTTTCACCCATGCTTCTGAGGTCGGTAAATTGTTCAATAGAAAGGCTCAATATCTATAACTTAATCATATATTTTCTAAAAGCTAATCGTCCATAGCTAATGCTATTGCTTGTTTTTTTAATTCATCTTCATCCAATTCTTTGTCCAGCATTCCTCTTTCCTGCAGGTATACACTATACTGTGCAGGTATACCCATGAATGTTTTTATTTTAGATCGCAATTGTTTCCAAGTTTCCTGATAATAATTCTTTTTGTCCCTTTCCATAGCTTTGTAGTCGTTGCCATATTTGTCTAATAAATATGTGATAAATTCAACCTGACCCTTAGGTAACCTGGAATCAATTTTGCTTTAATAAACACAAGTTTTAAATTTAGAACTTTACAAAATGATTTGGAAAATAATATCAATTTGTAAACAGTTTGTGTTCCTTACATAAACATCCTTTTCCGAGGCGCCTTGGCCTGTTTTTCTAATTTCTCGGCTACTTCCTTCTTTGGTGGAAGTCTTACAACTGTTTCCACTTCTTCATCTGAATCGATCTGGTTTACCATTTGTTTCGCCCTTTGAATTTGAGTCTGTTTGAAATTTGGTATTTTTATAGTTTTGTTTGGATCACTTACAAGACCCATTTCCCTTAGATTTCGAGCAGAAGTTTTTTTATTATTCCATGCTTCCTTGACAATTGAACTGTAATTTAAATAAACATTATTGACAAAGTTATGGACGATGCAATACATTTCAAATATTTTCGATATTACGAACCATTGAACGTTCCCTGTACTTTTTTGTTTCCTATTCATACGCCGTCGATTTAACTTGTGTAAATACTTTTTTTTACGATGCTGCTTTTTTACTTTCATGTTTACTGAATAATGGGTTACTAAATTCGAACCAAAACGCTAATAATAGCCCGCAGATAACCTCAAGCCTCAAGAAAACCTCAAATCAAAACACATGTGTTGTTTAATGTTTTTTGTTCGATTACAATTTACATGTCATATCTATGGTTTGATTCTTCATACCTATTATCTATGATTATCCACTAGTGGATGGCAAAGAGGACAGAGCCCATACAGTTAAATCTTCAGTAACAAAGATCGAAAAGCAGAATTTATTAACGCGTACGTGAGACGCAAAATTGTGTGAATTGCTTCTTTTTTGTTAAGTGTTCCTTCAGGTTTAAACGTGTAATAATGGAGGCTTATTTATCCATTAGCGTCTGTGAAAATACACAACTGAGGGAAAATAAGACAAGGTCTCCGAATGTGTCTACTCGACTTCCTTTAAAAAGGCAACTGAAGTGTCAGTTTATTCCCTTGATTTTACTGGGCCGCTGTTGACGGTTAACCAGTATTACGGCTCTGCTGATGGTAAGTGTCCATTAAGTGCACAAATGTGGGAAAATGAAACAAAGCCGCTGGAAATTATACTTCATCCAATATCATCTCATCTTCATCATCTTTGGAGCCTCTGGGTCTACGGAGGGACTTCGGTTCCCTCTGTATTTTGTACCGTATGTTCCATGGGGAGTGCTCTGAGGAATTGTTCGAGATGATACCAGCATCTCGTTTTTACCATCGCACCGCCCGCCACCGGAGTAGAGTTCATCCATACTACCTGGAGCCATTGCGGTCATCCACAGTGCGTTTCCAGAGATCTTTTTTGCCACGTACCATCCGGCTATGGAATGAGCTCCCCTCCACGATGTTTCCCGAGCGCTATGACATGTCCTTCTTCAAACGAGGCTTATGGAGAGTATTAAGCGGTAGGCAGCGGCTTGGCTCTGCCCCTGGCATTGCTGAAGTCCATGGGCGACGGTAACCGCTCACCATCAGGTGGGCCGTATGCCCGTCTGCCTACAAAGGCAATAAAAAAAAAAGCTCATTTCTTTTAATTTCATCCCAGTTGATTTATGTCTCAAATTAATCATCTTCATTTCATTTCATTTCATACCATATTATAATTTTTCATTAAAATAAGAATATAAAATAAAATAATATATGACCTAAAGGTCTTAGTTACCAGGTCATAAAACCCCTTAGAAAACACATTTTTTATTATTTATACCTATTACCTATTAGTTTTTAGAAAATTTAGTTAAAATTTAAATTAAATTAAACTATCTACATAAATGTAGTAGAGTTATTGATGGTTTAACTTGTTTACTGATTGTCTAATTTTTAATGTATAGTGATATTCACTGTAATTTAAACTACACATGTAATACCAATCCCATATTAATTTATCTCCTTAAACAGAACCATTTAATTAATTTTGCCACTATGGTCAAAGTTTGTGTGGTGAAGAGCTGTTCAAGTGGGCGTACAGGCAAGAAAAAAAATAATCGAATGCCTTTGTCTTTTTTTCAACCAACGGTGTGCAAACTATTTAATATTTTTCATATAGCACTTTCCTTTGCATGTACTTATTGATAATTTAAAACAATGATCCATTTATGTTGTAGACACCAACGAGGTTAATAAATTGGACAAAGTCAATGGGAATTAATTTAAAAGCAACAGACTCTATTTGTCAATTTCATTTTAAAGAGGAGCATATAAAAATGTATGATAAAATTAAAATTGGTGAAGTTATTTATTTTTCGTATTTACTAAAGAAAGTACTAAAGGAAGAAGCTTTGCCAACAATTGAGCATCAATTTCATCCTTTACTAGACCAACAGCAAAGTATCCTCAAGGTACAGGAACTACTAATAGATCCACAGAACAGTTGCTATTCTACAGATTACATAGAACAAAGTCAAGAAAGTTTACAAGAACAAGTTCAGATCGAGAAAACGCATAATGATTCAAGGGAACAAGAACTGATTGAATCTATTGATTATTTCAAAAATAATGTTAGCAACTTTTTAATACTGCCAGAGTTTTGGTTTTACATAGAAAAACCTAGACAATTAGAGTTTATGAGAATTGATCGTGCATGCAAGCAAATAAAAAATCATATACGTTTAAATGAAGACTTATCAATAACGGTATGAATAGCTATGTGGGCATGTTTATAATAACTACACTTTATTTAAACAAAATTACATTGCAGGTAATTCTTTTAAATAATGAAGAATTATGTACAGATCTAAAAATTAGTTCATTTGAAAATATTTATGATTACTTAAAATCTGTTGAAAAGTGGCCCCTGTGTGTTGGTACCCAAATCGAGAGAAACAAGTAAGATTATTTGAAATTTTACAAGTCTTAAACTGTTTACACCTACACCAATATGTTTAAAGTAATCAACAATATCAAATGTACCCATCTAGAATTTTCTAGAATGAATCATTCAAAGTATTGCGGATTACTATACAAACTCTTTTCCCATATTTCTGGCAGAGTTCAAATACCTGATATGATGGTAGAAGTATTCCTCTGCTAGTAATACTACTAGGATGAAAAGTTTTATACTTATTTTATCATATATATTGAATTTTATTTTCAGATATTCAAAAAAATGCAGAGGTGTCATAATTGGTGAAGAAGCCTATAAAAGATTTCAAAGAAATCCAAGATGCAAGTCTTGTCGGATCCTAAGGAATCAGTTGAAAAAACGTAAACTTTTAGCAGCTGCAAAGGTGTGGGAAAATGAAACAAAATCAATGTGTGGATGTGGTGCACAAATGGATGTAGCTTCTTGACATCTTTCAAAAAGCCTTTTGAGGTCTTAGTAAATTTACACTATTTTAAGGCTTTAAAACATGCTCAAATTTAGTCAAACGGACCAAATCCGCCTACCAAATACATTCTCGATACAGACCACCAGATTGGACAGTTGCTCATCTAAGCTGTCAGGTACACACAGTTGTCATCATGTCATTGGATACAAAAATTATGGTGGTAGCAGTAAAACTAGCAACAATCACCACATAAAAAGCTGAAAAATTATAGAATGGGCGAAACTGTATTTAAGAAAACGACGCATTTAATCATAAATTTAAATTATATCTACAAATGAACAGTGAAACCTTTGAAAATTTATTAAATTTACTCAAACCTCAGATCACAAAAAATGATATTGTTATGAGAAAGTCCGTTTCTGCAAAAGAGCAGCGTATTGCCATGTTATGATAAAGTATCTTGCATTAAGAAGAGAATTGAAGTTTAATTTAAATATATCATCACAGTTAGATAATCTCCCAAAATTTTTTTCTTTCTAGTTTGTCGTTTTCAAATTTTTCAGTTTCATTACTTATGTATTGTAAATTATTGCTTTCCAGCATCTCGGTTGCGACCAAAATCGTGATATGTACCCCACAAACATGGTAAATCTTTGTTTAATTGAATCGCGTTCCGTAAAGATTTTCTCCAAGATATAAAATGAGGAAACGCGCGGCCGTTTGTTCTGCTTAACCGTCCACACTACCGAATACCGAGCAATATATTATACGGTATAGATATTATTAAACGATGTGCAAAATTAGCGGACTCCATTAATAATAATTATGTTCGCAGGCGATCAGATTTGGTTCAGTAGTGAACCAAAATCGTGATTCGTTCGAACCAAATTCGGGCGGGAAAATTCGGTTAATACTTTTATTGTGACATAAAATAAATTGCATTTTGCTCCATTTCAGATGACAATGTATTTATTATTTTATTATAAATTAAGTTAAGATATGGAACCCAGGAAATTTATAAATAAAAGTCAAAAAATGCCATTATATCTATACATAATATTATAAAATTGAAGAGTGTTTGTGTGAACGCGCTAATCTCAGGAACTACTGGTCCAATTTGAAAATTTCTTTCAGTGTTAAATAGCTCGTTTATTGAGGAAGACTATAAGCTATATAACATCACGCTAATAGCAATACAAACGGAGCACCAATAAAGAATGTTTCAAAATCGGGGATTTTTCCCTTTTGAGAGCTTCCGCCGCGTGCGCTGACACGGATAAAGTTTCGCCAAAATAATGTATGACAGAATTGTTCCCCTTTAAAAGATCTAAAAAAAGTCCGCGACGGCATATCTATAGGTTAAGGTTGGTTCACTATAACGTTTTATATGCCAATAATTGAAGTGAAACTTCTTTATCGGCGTTGGAAAAAAATTTACCGTCACATTTTTCGGTTACGCGTCACATTTTTCCGTTACGCGCCATCTTTTTCTTGCCCCTACCACGGTTGGTTCAGACGAAGAGTACTTTCACTTTCTCCAACGGAGTAGGGATAGCATTAATGTTTCACTTCTTACGTGTGTACACTAGTACANTTCCGGGCTGTTGGCGAAGATGATATAGAAATAATGTTTACGCTGATTTGGTATGAGGTTTTAATATAAAAGCGACACAATGATTAACATAAAATACAAAATGTGTTGAGAATCGTACAGTTAAACTAAGACTCGCAATATTTTACTGGTCGTCGTCGCGCGCGCTGAGGGCGTGTGTTTTTTTTGCGCTCAGAGAGCTCTGTCTCAGCGGGCGGTAAGGCGGCGGCGGGGGCGGTATCGCACGTTCGGAAATTACGTTCCGTTATAAAATAAAATTTAAGGGTGGACCACCCTTAACATTTAGGGGGATGAAAAATAGATGTTGTCCGATTCTCCACCCTGGTCGATATGCACGCTAAGATCCACGAAAATCGGTCGATCCGCTTCGGAGGAGTTCAATCACGCACACCGTGACACGAGAATTTTATATATTAGATAAAAGTAAAAAAATCAATTCCAAGGAAGTGCATGCCTTGATCTCTAGTACGGAATTCAAGTCTGAAAATCGAATGACTGTAATTATGTTTCAAGATCTTCAAAAGGCATATACATAAATTAATTGTAATAACATAAATTATGAAAACTGGTTTCATATATTTTATTTGATCCCTAAATTAATTTCAGATAAATTGAAGTCGTCGTGGCCTAACGGATAAGACGTTCGGTGCATTCGTGTTGAGCGATGCACCGGTGTTCGAATCCCGCAGGCGGGTACCAATTTTTCTAATGAAATACGTACTCAACAAATGTTCACGATTGATTTCCACGGTGAAGGAATAACATCGTGTAATAAAAAAGAAACCCGCAAAATTATAATTTGCGTAATTACTGGTGGTAGGACCTCTTGTGAGTCCGCACGGGTAGGTATCACCACCCTGCTTATTTCTGCCGTGAAGCAGTAATGCGTTTCGGTTTGAAGGGTGGGGCAGCCGTTGTAACTATAATTGAGACCTTAGAACTTATATCTCAAGGTGGGTGGCGTATTTACGTTGTAGATGTCTATGGGCTCCAGTAACCACTTAACACCAGGTGGGCTGTGAGCTCGTCCACTCATCTAAGCAATAATGAATATAAGGGCGACATTTGAGAACGCAATAATAATATCAAAAAATGAATATAAGGGCGACATTTGAGAACGCCAGGAGTAAAGTTTACTTGTTTTATTTTGTTAATTACAATTTCTTTAAACTCAAAAATTTAATAATAGTGACTTATTAAGTTATTACCTACCGCTTTAGTATCCGTGACTGTGGACAAGTCTAGGAACTTGAATCAAAATCTGCATGTTTTCTAAGTCTATTGAACTCTCATGAAATTCTCACCATTTAACTATGAGTTTATTTCATTTGATTTAATCTCATACAAAATCTATTGGTTGTTACTCAGATATTTCACTTCATTTTCTGGGTTTTAGAAAAATTGTTATGAAGTATGTTCCTAATGCCTTGCAATTTTGCAATGGCCGATTAAAAAAATCTTTTAGGTTATGTTGTTTACGATCCGTCGTGTTCAACGTTATTGTTTACTTAATTTTTGTTAAGTTTCAATATTATATTTCGATAAAACCATTGAACGGTGTGCAACTTTGAGTAAGACTAGCTGAGTGGGAGCAGTGAAGTTTAAACAGCTGCCTAATCAATACCACTTACGGTTAACTTGTTTATTTTTATTATATTAACCTTTTAATTAAGAAAACCATGCCACAAACGGGTGCAACTCGTTATCAAAAATTTCTTAAGTCTGAAAAGGCAAAGACTAAACTGAAAGCCAAAAAGGATCTTCCTAAAGGAACAAATGTTACTAAAACAAATTTTAAAGTGAAGAAAATTGTCATTAAAGAGCAGCTTAAAAAACGTACTGAGAAAGAGNTTTATTTTTATTATATTAACCTTTTAATTAAGAAAACCATGCCACAAACGGGTGCAACTCGTTATCAAAAATTTCTTAAGTCTGAAAAGGCAAAGACTAAACTGAAAGCCAAAAAGGATCTTCCTAAAGGAACAAATGTTACTAAAACAAATTTTAAAGTGAAGAAAATTGTCATTAAAGAGCAGCTTAAAAAACGTACTGAGAAAGAGGCGTTGTCTATACGAAAGCTGAATGTTAAAGAACTCATAACACGTCTAAATCATTTTAACACAAATACCCGGAAAGACGCTCTCGATGGACTCACGGAACTAATTTCAGCTCATCCGGAAATTTTAGAAAAAGATTTAGGACTAATTATTCATGGAGTTAGTCCAATGATTTTGAATGTTGAAAAAATCGTAAGTATTCTAACTGATTATAATTCAATGAACCCACCAATATTATTTTTATTTTGTAGATGTTAGTTCTGGGTTATTTGTCAATGCCTCACTCACATCACAGACTGATGCTTAACTTGTGACATGACAGCCTGACTCATGGTGTAGAGCAGAAATGGGCCCATTTGGGCATATTTTTTTTTAGATATAGTCATGTTAAAACATGAACTCTTGAGATGAAACTCATCATTAACAATCTGCATTGCCTTGCTTGCATTCCAAAGTATTCTGTCATTGTGAAATGCTGTCCATGGTGACCTGGATGTAACGGCTTATTAACCCATCATCTAAGCCATAAATTATTCTTTGACTTGTGAAGGCTCAGACACAAGAATCATTGATTTTGATCACATTGTGCCCCTTTGTGCAAATAATAAAATACAGATATGAACTAGTTGGTTCAATCACCAGCAACAGAACCTACTACAAAAATCTGTTAACTATAGTCAGACAGCTGTTCTTGTGCGATTTAAGTACACAACAGTGGCCACATACTGGCTTCAGCCATGAACTATTATAGTTGCTTAGACAAAACAATCTGTGACCTGTAGTGATTGCAAGTTCTCCCTACCTATATAAAAAAGATACAATGTAGGGATGTTAATTTACAAATAAATATTATTGTAGGGTAACTTTCTGCGAGACTAACTTTCTAGCGACATCTGATCACAGAGACTCAGATCTTCATCCAGTTTTTGTGATGGTAATTACCTTGTGTACCTGCCCACTGATGTATGGAAGCTTTGGAGGGCAAGTCTCACAGTTTAAACCTATATATCTTGCAGATTTTCAAGTCTCAACAATAAATTTCCATTTGTTCAGTCTTCGACCGAGGCAGTATACTACATAAACAAATAGTTAAACTACCACTAATGCCTTACGGAGGTTTTGTTTTAACTCTTGGTTTATAAGAAGCCCATAGTCAATAAATAAATAAGTAGTAAATGTGGATAAGTGCAGAGTGATAAAAGAAAACATTTAAAAAATAAATAAAAATCTTTTAAGTACAAATCAATTAAGAAATTTTTAAGCCACATTGAATGTTTTTAATTGAGGCACAAATTTTTCATTTATCCAAATATTGATTAAGGTTTGTAGAACTTTTATTAACATTCGTGTTTATTTTTAGGTGCGCCATGAATCACTGAAAGTTTTACACTTGATACTTTCAAATTTGAGTGTTGAGAAGATAGATCCATTTTTTGATGTTATGTCTACGTTTCTAAGGAGTGCTATGACTCATATTAACAGTAGAATTCAAGAAGATTCTCTACTATTCTTAGATATTCTCCTTCTATGTGCCCCAATGAAAATGGCAAAAGATTTTTATAGAATTATTCCAAATTTTTTAGACATGATATCAAAATTACACATTGACTCAAAACCTGGACGAACACTTACAGTTAATATGGAAAGCCAAATTACAAGTGTTCGTTGGAGATCTAAAGTTCTTCATAGACTTCAAGATTATTTACAGAAATTTGTCATCCACAACAAAGTTCTTGAATTTGAGAAACCTATAACAGAGTGTACAGAAGTTTTTGACCAAACTAAGCTAAAGTATTATCCATTATTTAAGCCAACTTACACATCAGTATGCTATTTGAAAATGCTATCATCCAAAAATTCTCAAGAGATTGTATCTGTTGATGAAGTGGAACAATTGAAAGGCTATATAGACAACTTGATGCCACTATTATTTGAAATATGGCTTGAAGTGAGCCCAAATATGAACAAGGAAAAAAACATTGAGACTGTTGTAAGCGAAGATGCTGCATCATTATTAAAACATTCTCTTGAGATTATATTTTTGTTATGGGACCTAATAGAACATCTCAACAAGAAGAATCCGAGTTCAGATATAGAATCATCTTTTTGCCAGAAATATAAAAACTTATATACATTACACTTTGTGAATGCTTTTCCTTATGTGACAAATGTTAGAACCAAACAAAATAGTGATACTTCCCTTGAGAATGTGATTACGGACTCAAAATTGGTTTTAGAAAATTTGAAAATATGCCACTTGTTCATATTATTAAATCCAAAGATAAATTTGAAGTTACAAAATAAAGACATTGTTGCTATCTTGCATTATATAGAAAAAACTTTCAACCATAATACTAAAGATGAAGTAAACGATGCCATCATTGAAATCATGCACACCATATTTTCAACTGAAGTGAGTAACTGGAGTAAAACATGTAGTGTAATGGATGGCTTATTCCGGAAAATTATATGGGCCTACTTCAATAAAAATATGTCCGGATCGTGGAAACAAAAAATATTCGGGGTCCTATGCAAAGTTGCTCTTAATGATAAACTAAGTCATTTTCATGCCAATGATGCATATGAAATGTGGCTCAAGAATCTACCAGACATTTTATTGGGTAGTTCAGTTACAGAACAAACCATAGATATTATTCATAAATTTGCTGTACAGAGCAATGACAAATTTAATATAGTCATCAAACCTAAGTTGTCAATGATTATAGAAAATCTGCCAAATATTGTTAGTTCAGAAGCTGCTAATAATCCAAACATGTATTATAAATTATTTTCATTATTTTTTTGGATACGACCTTGGGATAATGAATCCTTAAATGTTTTAGAAAAACAATTATTGGACAGCAAATATAGTGATGATCATTGTAAATATATTATNTTTAATATAGTCATCAAACCTAAGTTGTCAATGATTATAGAAAATCTGCCAAATATTGTTAGTTCAGAAGCTGCTAATAATCCAAACATGTATTATAAATTATTTTCATTATTTTTTTGGATACGACCTTGGGATAATGAATCCTTAAATGTTTTAGAAAAACAATTATTGGACAGCAAATATAGTGATGATCATTGTAAATATATTATCGATACGTTAAAAAGTAGAACTGGAAGCACCTAATCCAAATCTGTAATGTATTAAAAGAAATATAATTACTATTATAATGTATTTTTAATAAACTCAGACACTATTTTATACAAAACCAACCCAATCGACTATCAAATAGTGTTAAGGGTACAAACATTACAGAACAGGTAACAAAACAAGCAGGACAACATTTTCAGAGTACAAATAAAGTATAAGTTGCTTATTCACAAGAGCGAACAAACAAGCAACGTTTAACCTTTATAATATTTAAGTTTCTTATATTATTTATAATACTGCTAAATTTTACAATAATATATCATATAACACACACTCCCAATGAAATTGTTAACATAACATTTAAAATCATAAATAAACATCACATACGTTTTTCAAACAAAAAATTTCACCCATTAAACCTGCAGAGTTAAAATGGTAGAAATATCGACCAATTTTAAATATGCTTCTCACATTTGTACCGTTATTCGTACATCTGAAGCGGTGAAACACAGGGTGCATCTCACAACGAAATATGATGTTGATGTCAGCCTCAATGAAGCAGTTTCCTTACATTGTTTATTAAGACTAGTATTTCCATTTAATAAATACGTAGTTAAACAAAATAAATTAGCTACACTCTTGAGTAAATCTAAATGTTTGGCAAAATTTGGCTAAAATATAATATACACCAATTGAGAAGTTTATTACAAGTCGACGAAATTCGAGAAAAACTTAATATTTCGTTATTCTATCAAATAACGTTTTTGCGCGTTGTAGATTGGAGCTAAAACCATTATTTCCTATTATGCAATAGGTACACTTAGCTACATAAGAAGACTAATGAGTATTTTTGAGAACAATTTTCCTCATAAAAATAATTATGAAAGTGCATTTCATGCGAAATTGTATCATTGTTGAATTGTTGCATCAATAAGTTTATTATCATTTTGTTAATTTAATTGTGAATAATAAATTATGTTGCGTTCACGCTTATCAAAGTTTAAAGTAAAAATAATGGATGGATGTATGTGTACCGAATTTAAAAATATATATATATTGAAATTTAAAAAACTAAAGAATGGTCATAGCATAAAACGTAAATGTGCTTTTTTTCATATGAACCAAATTTCCACAGAAAGAGCAAACATTCAAAGCCTTATGCTCCAGCAGAAAGTAAGCTAAATTTAAGCTTGAGCAGACCTCTTTCAAACAGAGCGAAGCCTTATCTCAATACTATACCAACAAGCAATAAAATGTTTATATATAATTATAAAAGATATTCCTCATTCTAAAGGAATCATCTCAAAACATGAATTGTCTTTCAGTAATTGTATGAGATAATACATTATACTAAGATCTATTTTCGAATCTGCCTTATTGGGTTTTCCTTTTATTGGATTTTTTTGCGCGGGGTATTGTAGCAGAGGCCGTCAGCATTGCCTGGAAATAAAAGGAGTACATTGAGAATTAGCTCAAAGAAGCATAAGCACCCAATTTTTTTATAACAAAAAAAGAAAACTCTCAGCAAAAACACAAAATACCTGCCAAGGATGAACAACTATTCTGACGGCAATATAAAAGTGATTATGTATTTGTTTAATCTTTATTCGGTTATTAAAGTCTATATCAAACATACAACACAAACGGACAACAAAAAGAACACAATAGTTTATGCAAAACAATAATTTAAAACCAACACTTAAAAAATTAGAATTATTCATGTTTATTAGTCTAATTTACAAAATAGTTAAGAATATTCACATGCATTCTAAGCCAAACAAAAAAAATAATACATTATTTACGGTTTTTAAACATCTGTGCTTTTCGATGTTGTCGGTATTTCTTCGTGCAATGATAAAAACTTATATTCCGGATAATTCTCCAATTTTGCATCAATGATTTTCTGTAACGCATCACTGGTTTTTGTTATATTTTCATTGTTATACGCTTCGACGCAGTCTTTAGAATCACATGTTATTTCAATTTCTGGAACTTTTTTGACACCACAAGGATTACTCAGATCGTGGCAACTTTGAAATTCGTCAATAATTTTGTCGGCCGTAGAAGATCTCCTACTATTGCACGTAGATGTTGAAGAATCATTATCGTCACCTTCCTTCGCACCACCTTCTGATCTGTGTTGATCATCAGTTTTACTCCAAAAAGCTAGTTTACCTGGCAATTGTAACAGTCTGCTTATACTAGAACTATTAATCAGCATTCTAGCTGGGGATTTAGATTTGTCACGCAGTCTTTTTGCAGGTTTACTATCTCCGAGTGTTTCACTATCGTTTTCTATGATAGTTTTCTCATCTAGTGTATTATTAGCTATATCTATTGATGATTTTTGAAGTTCTGTCATGTTATTTGAAAAATCTTCTGCAGTTTGGTGGATGTCGTGTTGTATTAATTGTTTTTCCGCTGCAGGAACCGGAGGCGGCGGCGCTTTGCCTTTGCCATATTTGCCTTTAGGTGACTTTCTTTTGCTTTTCGGTGAATTATCAGGGGTGCCGAAAGAGGCTTCATCGTCAGCTGAATCGATACTGCATATATCCACTGTTGCTTCAGTTTGGACATTAATGTTGTCAGTATCTACAGTTCTAGTTTCAGTATCTATAGTTCTAGTATCAGTATCTATAGCACTAGTATCAGTATCTATGGTACTAGTATATTTATTTTCGTGTCCTTCAATATCAATATTGGCGTCACTATTTACGTTATAAACTAAAGTTTCATTGTTCTTATCAACAAATGAATGTGTTTCGTGCTGGTTAATTGGCTTATATTCTTTTGCTTCAGAGTGAAACGGAATGTCCAAATTATTATTTTGTTTTCTTTCATATACCACAATATTTTCATCGACATTATCAATTACTTTTTCGGAATCTTTGCTTAACGTAGTTTCTTTAAAATTAACTTCTTTTTGGTCCCAGGTATCTGCATTGTTGGATTCATTGTTAGAACTCGATTGTAACGGGTAATTACCTAGCACTTGTAATATTTTAACTTGGTTGTCTACATACTTGTATAAGAACGGGGGGTCAGTGTGGGACAAGAATAAGGGAGTTGAGTATTGTACAAGGGGGGGTATATTCGCAAATTCAAAAGCATCGTCGTCGTGTAGCTCCTCGATGATTACTTCACTTCCCTTTAAATAAAAAGTACTTAAGTCTACATCAAAATAAAACAAACAAATGATTAATTAATGCTAATAAATGCTTAACAGACTTAATGATAGGAATACATTTAGTACATGTTATTATTTTATCTTTTTTTTTTTATAAAGCTTAGTTATTAGATTTGTGTAAACACTTTGACTCTACATAATTTTTTAATAACTTAATTGTTGCAGCACGTTTACAACTTTTACTCCATTGTGATTTTAGTGAAAACTACTGGTGTTTGTTTTTCATTGCTACTAGATATTGTTTATCAAACCCAGCAATGTATTAAACGTCAAAACCAAACGACTGATGATCCGATAAATTACATTAGGAAATGAGCGTTCTGCGTTATTTTGTTTCTAAAGCTATGCTTAGCGATACGACCAAATCATTCTTTACTCAGCACCTTCCTACCCTGACAGACATACTGTATTATTCGAATCTAATTTTCACTTCTATAAAGATATGCCGTTTAATCTATATGTAACCGTGCCTAATTCGTTACATTTCATAATCAATACTATATTTATTAATACTATATGCCTGTGTCTCTTAAGGATTCACACGCCGTCAACACCAACCCTTTAATAAGAGTGCCGTGGCCGTCGGCTCCACTCGCAAATACATCGCATACGTTATAGCAATAACTGTAATGCTTATATGCTACGCTTTAACGCTAAATATTGAAATAATTTAATAATTCTCACAAATTACAAGCATTTAGCAAACTCTCAAGTATTCTCGTCGTAACTAATAAAGCGTTTTTTAACTTTATCAAAGATAGACTAAAAAGTGTTAAAGAAAATTACAAGTACATAAACCGCGATACTATATTAGAGACAAGATAATTATAATATCAAATATAAATAAATAATAATATCAAATAGCATTAAACTATTGTTTCATAACATTTTTTTTTATCTTGTTTTAAATTCCGTTTTCTATTTTAAAAACAAATCAAACAAAATTTAAATTGTGTTTACATCAAACAAACACATCAGTATATAATGATTCCATTTTGAGTTTAAAAAAAAACACTTCTATAAATTCATTCTATTGCAATATTTCTCACATTTGAATGGACTTACAATGACTATATAACCAGTGCTTCACTGCATCAATCAAAGTTTCTATTTCACTGAACTGGTTTGATAAATTGTAGTAAACAAATGAAAAACACAATGTGTCTCGGAAAGGTTAAATCAAAACCGAAATATGTAGCGTGTACTTCAAGTATTTGTTCATTTTCATCATCATTCTCCTGCCCTTCTCTCAGTCACTTGGGGTCGACGCAAAATGCTTTCTCCTTCCATACTCCTCTATCATATACCATTTCTTTGCTCACTCCCCTCTTACAAATATCGTCTTTCACGCAATCCATTAATTGCTTCTTAGGTCTACCTCTTCCTCTGATCATTACCCGCAAACCCGCAAAATTATAATTTGCGTAATTACTGGTGGCAGGACCTCTTGTGAGTCCGCACGGGTTGTTGCCACCACCCCGCCTATTTCTGCCGTGAAGCAGTAATGCGTTTCGGTTTGAAGGGTGGGGCAGCCGTTGTAACTATACTTGAGATCTTAGAACTTATCTCAAGGTGGGTGGTGGTTTACGTTGTAGATGTCTAGTGTTGAACTACGGTGAATGGGTTCCAGTAACCACTTAACATCAGGTGGGCTGTGAGATAGTCCACCCATCTAAGCAATAAAAAAAAAATTAACAAACAAGTCTGAATTGTAATGGCTCAGAATAGTACCACCCTTTCACCCATACGTTCCCGCGGATGTCGTAAACTAAAACTAAGGGCTACACCAGACAATGGGCAGCAGCAATCTCAGAGCGTTATACCAGCGTATGGAGATCGTTAAATGACATTTACTGGTAGTAGCGCGTATTGTAAACCCACTCTGGTAGGTAGCACCATCTTGCCCATTTCTGCGGCAAAGCAATTTCGAGGTTACGTCAATGGCCGATAACCACTTAACTCCAGGAGGGCCGTGAGCTCACTCAATTGTACACAGAAAAATACTACTTATCTAAAAAATACTACTGTCAACTATTTAATAATTAAAATTAATACCAATTGAATATCTATGCAAAAATAGTGAATACTTATGCAATTGATGAGTTTTAAAAATTTTGGTGAATTATATTTTTTTAATACTAAAACGTTTCGGTTTTTTATAACCTTTCCGAGATATCTAGGTATACCAGTTTTAAATACTAATCATCGCAAAAGTTACAACTAAATTGTTACATTAGTCGTGTTCTTCGTTTGTTTTGAACAAACAGACAAAAAAAAAGTCGATGATGAGAAAATATTCTTTTGAATATCATCCACAATAGTCGTTTCTGTTACAGATAAGAGTTTAAAATAGTTTTTATTATAATAATACCGATTTTGGAAGAAAGTATTTTATGTTAAATGAAGTAGTATTAAATGTAATGTTACTTCATGAAAAATAAATATTCTAAATGAAATATTCAATCCAATTCAGATCTCAATTGTTGTGATGTATTTTAAATTAAAAAACGATTTTATATATTTTTCATGACATTACACATAGGTACATTTTTGTGTCGCCCAAACATTGAATCGTATTTATTTTGATTATTATAAACGTTTTCTGTTCTATTCCATGAGATTATGCAATCGAAACGGTCAATTAAAAGTTTACCAGACCTCGGCGGCTTGGGGTCGTTTGATGGTGGTGACCGTGGTCCGCACGGGGCGGGCTTTAGTTCTCGCCGACGCGCCCAGCGACGACGTGCGGGTCAACGACCCCGAGTTGTCGGCACTCGAGTAACCAGAACTTATGTCCTCCGACGATTTTATGTGACTGAAATAAATCAATATATAAAATTTAGAATTTTTCAACTTTATAAAAGGTTTAAAAAAAAGTTTAGCTTGGCATTTCTTTTTTTTAAAGTAAACTAAAATATTTTAAAATTTATTTATTGGTTTTACTACATTGTGAAAACTACTGGTGTTTGTTTTTCATTGCTACTAGATATTGTATATGAAACCCAGCAATGTATTAAACGTCAAAAACAAACGGCCGATGTACGTTTATCCGATAAATTTCATTAGGAAATAAAAATATTTTTAAGCTATTGAATAGATTTAATCGCGGGCCTTGAGCGCGGCTTGAGAGCGGAATCGTGAAATTCCGTAACGAAAAAAACCTTCCACCCTTCACTACGCGACACAACGATAGCGCGATTCAGCTTTTGCGTCAAGCGCGCATCTATCGGCGACAAACGGAATTGTAAAATAGAAAATTATATCACATTACAATGCGTTGGGCGTGCCATTTTCTATCACTTAGTCGAAGAATTTTATTACTACTCCTACTACTCATTCAGTGATTGGAGTGGCATTAAAAATAAACTAGCTAAACCATTGATTCTGGGCGAATGAGAATTAGAATTAGCATCCAAAGGCGTGTCTCTATCCCATGTAGCGCCCTCTAGTCAAAATGGAATACTCACAATGTAGCAGCTTCATTGAAAGTTAGCCCACTGAGTTTCTCGCCGGATCTTATTTTATTGTTGTTTTAATATTAAATTATCATTGTCGATTTATAATTGCATAAGTTGATAAAAAATGCTATGCAATAGCTTTACCGCGGCAGTCTCCGCGTGCCACACGTCTTTTTTTATTTTCATTTATTGATTTAATTGAAAATGTTTTTAAGTCCAGACTCGACGAACGCTTTAGGTGAATAGAACGATATGAGCACCACTTTTTGACAAGGACTCATACAGATTCGATAACTCTACGAATAAGATTTAAAATATACACTGCTAATAATGAATCATTGTAAAAAAATCAGACTACGGTGACCAAAATTTGGGGTTTACATAGGAAAATCACGAGACTCTAGCTAACCTGAAATCGGGTTCGTCGGTTCTCGGGCGGGGGCTTCTGACGTCCACGTCGACTTCAGGAAAATACATCGGCTGTCGGCTGTTCGATTCGGAAGCACTACGACGATAACCACTATAAGATAATATTAATCTTCCTTTAATTTTTTTTATTGCCTTTGCAAACGACCATACGGCCCACCTGATGTTAGGCGGTTACCGTTGCTTATGGACGTCAGCAATGCCACGGGTAGAGCCAAGCCGCTGCCTACCATTGAGTAATCTCCACAAGCCTCGTTTGAAGAAGGACATGTCATAGCGCTCGGGAAACACCGTCGAGGGCTGTTCATTCCAGAGACGGATGGTACGTGGCAGAAAAGATCTTTGGAAACGTATTTCGCATTTGTATTCTAAATAACTCAGTTTAAGTATACCACATTTATACATGAGGGGTAAAAGGCTTATTTAGTTTATGCGACATTTTGCATTTTGCAACTTTAGAGGAGAGCCATTTAAACATTAAATTTGGAAAAAATATAACAAGAAAACTTAATTGTAAACTTAATTGAAGTTCAATTTAAAATGAACTGTTGATGCTAATACCAAATAAAACGGACCTTTAATTATAAAGATAAATGTTGCTTAAACCTCTTTGGTTTCCCGCCTTTCAGATGGCCTTTCAACCGTCGATATGTACATATTTTCTAGATGAAATAATACGGGCGTTTCAATTTTCGAATTGCGGCGATTTTTTTTCTTCTACCTAAGTTGATAGCCTTGAGAGGCTATTTCAGCGGAACCTTAACTAGTAGGTGAGCTCACGGGGCTCAAACCTGACGACGTTGCTAACACGAACTCTAGCAAGAGCCGTGCTTCGCAGAATCTACCATCGGATCGGAAACGCGACCCACTGAGAAGATCCGGCGAGAAACTCAGTGGGCTGTGTCTGAAGGTATAAGACAGCGCCCTTTTGACTTCCGCCATAGGTAGAATCGAACTCTCAACCTTCGGTGATCAACCGCTAAGCCACGAAGTGTACATTGCGCGAACATTCACCGCATTTTTAATGTAAGTCTATCCCAAATCAGTATTAGGATGGTAAGTTTTTTTTTTAAGTAGGCAGCAATCTATTGTATTAAATCACCTTTTGGGTCCACGTCTAATCAGTCTAGGTTCGGTGAGCACGTCGTCCGCTTCATCCTCACCTCGCTCTTCACGAGGCTCGCACTCGGTCAAATCCGATAGACTATAGCTTTTACGGATTTGCTGTACGAGCCCTCCGCCGCCCTGTAACATTATTTTAAAATATTATATTTCGCTCTCCCTAATTTTACATTTAGAAACAACGTAATGATATCCATTCTCAACAGGGACGAGCCACTTTACTTAATTATACTGTAAACCTAAGTCTTTTCTCAAACAAAAAGCCAATTTACTTACCACAGTTTTGACTAATTCTGCGGTAAGCCAATCATGCTTGTCTTTGTAAAGGGTGGAAGACTTCGACATTGGGTCTCAAAGTCTCAAGATATGCTGGTTTATATAAGCAATTAGTTGGCTGACATTTTGTTTATTGAGATAAGGATCATCATTCTACTAAGCCTTTTGATAGTATGTTTTTATGTATACAACGCGTCTCTCAATTAACTCTTTGAGGTTAGGTGAGCTAAAAACTGCCCCAACTTTTGTTTAGTTTTTTATGGTAATATATACTTTAACAAACTTTAAAATATTTAAATTACTCATAGTCATTCATTTTAAGAATTGTTTTCTTAAATATTCTCTCGTTTGGCGATTATTTTTTAAAATGTTATTAATTTATTTTTCTTAGTTTTGATTTATGATTTATGTAAGTTAATCAAAAAGAATATTCAATTCCATTAAAAAAAAAATGTACAACCATATACAGCTTTTATTTTCTTTAAAATCGTGTGCCCCAAAGAGTTAAACGAATACGCTATTTTAATATCACTTTAATTATTTGGTGATTTCATTACTATGACTATATAATGTAAAACTATGTGTTATTTAATAACAACATTTGGACGGAGCTAATTAATAAATTAATGGTACTTACACGGGCTCCGATTTCTGTGTAAAGCTTTGTAAGGCAAAGCGCGTGCATTATTAAATTCTATAATACCTTATGTCAAGAAAAACTCGTAAACAGAGTAAGTTCTATTTATTTTAGAATAAAACGAAAATTATATTAAATCAGTCACACGATATTAAGAACTAAGCACACACACACACACACAGTTGGCACGTATTCATGCGAACTTTACAGCTAAAAACTAAACTAAACGAATAGAACGGGTATCATGCTAGTTATAATAACATAAAAAAATGCCAACATGATTGTGTGAGGTCAGGAACAACGAATTTAATGCAAATTACAAAAATTTACACGGACGCTTTTCGTTTTAAAGTTGAAAATAGATAAATAGACTTGAGAGAGAATCGTGTAGTGTGAAGACCGAGAAATAAAAAGATACAAAAGTTCAAAGAGATTTTATGAGTTCATTAAATATAAATACATCTTCAGCTTTGGTTCGATTCGGAGATTTTGGCCTTAACATCAGTGGCCGATATTGAAATATTAAACTATAAACCGTGATATGTTTCTAATAACCTTACTAGTTGATATTCGTATAATAACATTATTGACATTAAAATAACCACGTGCGTCCTGTTTTATGAATTTCCTACTGAATATTTAATGTTTCCTGGCAAAGTATCAATCAAAAGTCGTAAAAAAAAAATCGAGATCGAAAGTTTATCGTACAAAATTCCTCAAAATAAAACTCAAATAGAGCGTTCAATACAAACTAAATGTGTCGAAACGTATTAACTTTATCACAGAGCGAGATGTGTGAAGCGGACTTAACCTTAACTCTGTCTGTGTTTGGGCCTACATTGATAGTTATCATTTTTCTGTGAACTTAGCTATTGTTAAAGTCGTTAAATTTAATGATTTACAATTATATTATAAATGTTACTTTGGAAATTAAATTTTAAAAAAACCAGCAAGAGTAAGCAATTTTATGAGGCGAAATCACCTTATTATCGGGCGCTAGTTATCTTTCAGTCTTATCAATAATATATTAATGATTTTACGCTACTTTCTGATATACGTTTTGTTACTTTAAAAACTTTGGATCAAATATATTTTTTATTTTGATCAAGTTAACTAAAACAACAAAAATAATTCTTACTATTTCCATTTTAGTATATATTACACTCTATTGTGTATATATCGAAAATGGTAAGGTGAAGGAAATATGAATTGAATAACAATAACGCAGGCCAAGGAAATTGTAAGCACGAGACGACTTTCAATTCCGTGTTGAACAAGTTCCTGTTTGACGATAGGGTTGATGCAAGCCCGCACAAGCGGCTACCACCGTCCTGCTCACTGTTGCCTATCTACCAATGCAGTTGAGACTTCGGTCTCATACCTCAAAGTGGGCTGCGGTACCTATAGGAAGAATATGAGTAAACGCTTAACATCAAAGTGTTGAGTTGTAGTGAAAAAAAAACCTTAGAAAAGTGTTAATTTGGCTAAGGCTGAATCCGCTTTAAAGATCGCACCCGTAGTCTCGAAACATTTAAAAAATCACAGTTGAGAAGTGTTTGGATCTAATAATATAATTATTCAGTCGACCAATATTTCTCTTTCTTGTGCGGTCTGACTCCTCGTTTTTCGTCCTCTGGATTTGCTTCTAGATTTTTTTTCTTTAACGGCTTTCCGCTTGCGTACAATGTTGCCTCGACTTCGAGCAGCCGAGTCGGGTTCGTAATCTGGGTCGCTCAAATCTCCAACGCCCATTTGAAAGTCTCCGCCCTCATCGTTATTTTCCAATTCGACAATTTCCACGATGCCGGGCATGTTGTCTTCTGAACGTTGAAATTCTAAGTCTTCATACGGTTCTTGGTAACCATCTGTGACGTCACGGGCTTGGATCGCCTGCCTAGCCCTCCCATCCACGCCCTGTTCGGGACTCGGCAGGTTGAAGTTCTGAGTGAAGCAGCAAAGGAAAGGATTTTCGGAAAAAGAACAGGGTAACGGACGGGGAGAAATTAAAAAAGCGTGTTAATAAAATAAAATAAAACAACATTAAATTAATCGAAGCCGATGTGGACGTCAAAATCAAAGATGATCAAAACGAGGTGGACATGCTTGATGGTTGTGTTCAAGTGGATTTACTTTACAACGAGATTTTTACAAGCGCTGCAGAAAATTAGAACTAGATTATACAAACAACGTTGAATGTGTTTAATTATTTACATAGACTTTATCAAACATGCCTAACCGTTTCATTGTGTGATTGTCTATAGGCATTGCGCTGGAGGTGAGGGAAAAACAACAAAAAAAATGCTCATCTAACTCACTCGTGTACTGTTAAAGGTTAAAGCCCGCTTTTGCCCTTGTTTAAATTAGCACATCATAAGAGCTGTTGGATTCGAATCATTATTATATTTTTATTAGTCTGGCGATTCAATGTGGTACTGACTTAGATAAATAATAGGCAATGATGTCGAAGGATTGATAAACTGTCAACAGGTCTTATTAGGTATCTGCTAAGCATGCTGTATTTCTAGTCAGTGTTTATTTATAACAAACCTTGATAGCGGTCTGCATGATGACCGTTGTAGCATAGTTGACGCCTTTTGTGCCCAAATTAAGCACAGTATGGTAGCCCTGATCTTTAGCTTTCGCTATGTACTCATCTATTTCCTGAAAGAAAAAAAAATGTTATATGATCACTGTTTGCAAACGACAAATTGAAATAGTTATCTGTATTTAAAAATATAACAACTCTTATAAATTACAATCAAAATTTTAGTGATTAAAAAAAAACAGTGATTTGTTTACCTGTACAGCAACAAATTTAACAGTTATCTGTATTTAAAAATATAACAACTCTTATAAATTACAATCAAAATTTTAGTGATTAAAAAAAACAGTGATTTGTTTACCTGTACAGCAACAAATTTAACAGTTATCTGTATTTAAAAATATAACAACTCTTACAAATTACAATTAAAATTTTAGTGATTAAAATAAAAAAAGTGATTTGTTTACCTGTTCCCGCCTGCACAAAGCCGGATGTACAAATTTTCTGTAGAGTATGGAGGATCCTTTCGTTGCTGGCGACAAAAGCCATAGCACTAAAACAATCTTCACCTCGTAATAGAACGGAAACCATGATAGGAATACATCAGTGAATGTTTCCGTGCACGTGAACAAAGCGAAAACTATCCAGTACATCATCCATTTTACCTGAAAGTGGAGTTTTGGCATGAATTATTAAAAACACATTTAATAATAAAAAATATTGCCCTTGTAGGCAGACGAGCACACGGCCCACCTGATGGTGAGTGGTTACCGTCGCCCATGGACTTCAGCAATGCCAGGAGCAGAGCCAAGCTGCTGCGTGCCGCAAAATACTCAAGTCTTGGTGTGAAGATGTTTATAAATACACAATTCATATAACGCAACATAAAGCTTTAGATAATATAGATTTTTTTAAATATAATTCTAATAAATAATAAGCAATCGCGATTTGATATGTATAGAGCAATGCCTAACCACTTAACCACGAGTGGGTAAGTTCATCATTTACGCTAATAAAACTGTAATAGAAGTGCACAACCCGAATTTTCGCTGGATTTTTTCGTTCTAAACATCTACAACAACTCTAAAATTCAACATTTCAAAGAAATTAAATAGTCAAGTTTTCTTTCAATTGACATGTTTCTTTACCAGATTTATGTACTTTCACATGAACTGTAATATCATTGTTTTCCACTGACCTATTTAACCAATTGAACGCTTTATGAACTAACGCGTAAATTTAAATGAGGAAAATTATTGCCAATGTTTAAAATAACTTTATAGGTCGTCTGTTTAAGTTAATAACAATTAATTCATTTATGATTAGGACAACAGGAGCGCGGTGTTAACTAGGATATTTAGTTGAATGTAGGAAATCAGGATCAAGGTAAGGCCACAACGGGAATTCAAGCGTTTCAATGTGAGCATAGGCCGTGGCAAGGGCGGTGTTGAATTTCGAGGGCATTTACGTATAAAATAGCACTATTAAACCACACTGTACTACCATTTATTAAACTTTATGCCCCAACGGTGGCGAACTTAATGTCTAATTCTTTATTAGTCAACCAAGAGTGCTGTAGATACCATGGCTTTATTGTCAATTATTAAATATAATAACACAATAATAAAATAAAAGTCTGCATTATATACATACATATATACAGTATACATGTGCATAAAATTTCACGCAGTATATATAAATAATACTTAACTATCTAGGTGTATTTTTTTTATTAAACTTACGTATTCCTTCAAATTCTTCGTCCGTACAGCTTTATATGAGGCATACGCCGGATACAGAGTTCCAAATACTAATCTGCAAAATGGATATACGACCAAATATGAAATCATCCTTGGAGCAAGCAGTCCTGTTGTTAGGGCGAGTAAACAGAAATTCCCGAGTGTAACTCTAGGAATGCATTTCCTTAAAGCGGGTCCCAAATTCACAACTAATGGTTTCCAGACTCGTCCATTCGATTCGTCGAACGGAAAGTCTTCTGCGAAATCTTCATCGATGTAGGGTTCGTATCTTACTAGATCGCGAGTTTCAAAACTTTTACATTCAATTGCACGCGTATATTCGGATTCGAGTTTGTTTATAATACAGCGGACACTGGATAGTCCGAGGCTCAACACCGGCAGGCGAGGACTGTCGTCACGGTTACGGAACACGCGACCAGCCTCCATGGATACGTTGCCGACGACATTTGTAGCCTACCGACTGATGTAATATAATATACGATTTATTAACGTCCACTCAAATGCGTTCAATTTATTATTTACGATGCGACGACCGTGAATCTCGCACGATTTGGACTGGTCCGATAAAGAACTGTCATGTTATAGTTGGCTTTTGGCGTGCTATTATGCACCTTGTAAATAAATATCGGCTGATTTACGGGCGGAGGTCGTTCAAAGCCCAAGTAGAGAAATTAACAATACCTATTGCTTACAAAATACCTTTGACTTTGAGTGATTGTACTGTGTAATTTAACGACGTCACAATAAACGATTTTCTAATCTTTGTCAAGGTCGTAATTGTCTACTTTATAACAGTAACTGTCCTTAGTGGTTTTTGGGGCTGTAACTTTCGTTGTTTTTTTTTAAATTTATTATTCTATAATGGTGCAATATTTTTTAGACAAATATTATAATATTCATCTAAATTCTAAGCCATATTTTTACTGTTCATCCTTCATAATGAATGATATCTAAAAAGTAGGAATGCAAATCTGTTTTTAAATAATAATATTACAAATAACTAAACAGTCGTGTCATATTTGATCAATTCGGCCTAGAAAACGCTAACAACGTTTATTTTTTAACAGATATTAACAATCCGGTTAAATGCACGAGTGCGTGAAAATAACGAGTTACCGCGAACAATACGGAAAGTGGATATTGCGTTTCGGTAAAGTTTATGAGAGTCGGTAATAACGAACAGTACAGAAAAGAAAAACAATGTAAATAGAGACAATTCAGTGAATAATGAATATTAAATGGTCAAGCGGTCTGTAGGCGATCATGTAACGTCCAGTCTAGGATGATCTACCCTGATCTTTGTATCCTGCTTTGTTTCTGACTCACTACTGCGGTCGCATCAAAATGAACGACTTTAAAAATAAACAATTGCAGATGTCAGTGTGTAGGCATTGCTGCATTGTGTCTTTGCATTGTATCGAAACAATAGATTAATTTTTAACTAAACAAGAACGTTTCAGAATTTAGCATTCTAAGAAAAAATTAAACCATATACTATAAAATTAATTAGATTATAGTCAGTAAATAGAGTAACTCGAACAACTCTCTCTATATTTGGACGAAAGTAGAACACGATTAGAAACGATCACTGACCAAGTATGTTTCAGAGCTTCCCTGGTACCGAATCCCAAAATAACAGGATGAGCAACCCGATCCCAATGCTCCAAATCCCGATTCTCATAACATCAACCAGTCGTAAAATGAACTCTGTCTTTAATCAAATTGTGAATGTAATGCGTCTTAATAAAGTAACAATACTACGCGTTATTGTTGGCGCTCTAATATACTGTTATCTTTAGAATATTGTACTTGGAATTTGTTGTAAATGATATTGTTAATTTCTTAGAACTTATCACGTCCTAAAGTGACTACGAAAATATAAATATTTTTCGAGCTTGATTCATAAACATCGGTCGTTCTCTCGAAATCAGTATAAGATATTGGTGGTACACTAACCGGTTATAATCTATTTACAAAAATAAACTCCTCGTGAGCATGTAGGTCAAGAACCTCTCTGCAGCACTGATGCATCTGTATGCTCGCTCAGCATGCAATGTTAGAAATCCTTTGTTCAATATTCAAGGACTTAAAATGTAATCGTACAATAATTTACGCAGTATTGAAACTAAACATTATATGTATTAAAAATGGATTTCAATTTAGTCTTGTTATACATATTTTTGACTGTTTCTTGCAGTTTGAGTTCTATTTACTTCACCACGAATTAAATTGAAACGGAAATTATAATAATTTAAGTTTCTCCGAAAAAGTAACCATGAATCATAACATTTTAAAAACGCAATTGCAGGGGGTTCCGTATCAGACATCCGAATGACCGTTCACTTGATGAATCCGAATTTAAACTGAAAATTTTACTTTATCTCAAAAACTACTCAACATTCTAAAAAAAAATTATGTAGTTTCTTTTATGTTACAGAATGAATTAGTTTTGCATTTTTTTAAATTAACGTGTATCCCGGCACACAACATAGTGTTCACGTAATTTCCAAAACCTTAACCCACACACGTTTATATGAAGCAGTACATAAAACGTACCTACATTCCATATTTCGGTCAGTCGATCTCTAGAGAGTAAAGGTAAGACAGCTGTGGTATTCGGACAGTAAACACCTATAAACCCAACCCAAAAAAATATATAATTCAATATTATATCACCAAATAATACTGTATTTTTTTTTATTCGTTGACCTCGTTACACAACCAAACAATTATTGGATCATCACTTCAGCTTTCTCAATTATGGCCAGTTCCAGTCGTACTTTCACCTATATTCAACACACGTTTCATCATACGTCCTGTAAAACCGGCGAATCCTTTCTATAAAGTACAGTTATTGGTGAACCGAATAAGGAGCGGACGCATCGTACAATTGTTTCATAAACCAGGGTCGATGTAACGACTAGTCGAGCGTGGTTGCATTGTAATAAAAATCATATAACAACTGAGTAAAGACAACCCACTTTACAAATTGTTTCCAATGATACTTTAAATAACAATTTGGGAAAGTCGATAGAGTTCCAACGTTAATTGTAGAACTAATTCGACTGATCTATCTTCTAATGGGGTCGCGTCAAATACACGGTTTATTTTGTAGTTAATCCGGTAAAATATCGAGAACAATACTATGTTAGTTCTAACAGTCTAAATTAAGTAACTAGTGCTACACTGATATATATTTTTGCCGCAATCTATAATCCGGTAGTATTGACAATTGGATTTCAAATTCCAAAATGTGCCCACTATGCTTCACGTCGGGATGTTTATTAGCTTTGGTAACTGCTTAAATTCAGGCGTGCTGTGAATCCAATCTAAGATAATATAAATGATTTTATAGGTAAAGTTAAGTTTTTCATACAATGACTAACGTTAATTGTATGAAAAGCATCGATCTATTAACACTACTCCCGCGCTAATTATTGTACCTTTAATAAAAGAAACCTTTTCTGGAGTGCTAACAACAAGAGTACTAAGGATTATCCCAATTGGATAAATGGTTTAAGATCCTAGAGACAAACAATTTTTTTTATGTATGATAGATAATGAGGTCTATTAAATCACAAAATTAAAAAAGATTTATAACTTAAAATTCAAATTTTAACACAATAATGTATTTATAAATATATTTAAATTAGATTCAATTGCCACTCGTAAGCGGGAGCATCACTTGAGATAGTTCGAGCAATTTAGCTGATTGATTTTTCGTAGTGTTCGTAATTTCCAGTACAAAGTTTATATGATTATAATTTTTTTGGAAATATGGCGTTTTTTTTAATGCCAGTTTTAAATGAGTCTTTGTGGAACATGACCTAGTGCGATAAACAAAGAAAACAAATTATATCTAATGATTTCGTCATGTGATAAAATGACGTCTAAAACACTTTGTTTACGTTATTGAATTATCGTTTGCAACTTGCGCATTTACTTTAAGAGATTGCACATGTTGTAAGTCAAAAGACAACAAAAACTATCGAATCGATCGGGCTTGTTCAATTACAATTTCAAATTAGTTTCGTTTTGCTGCACCAGAAATCAAGCCACATCCGCGTTCAATCAATATAATTCAAGTAATAACAATGAACATATAACCAACGTCATCACTACATAACAAAGTCGCTTTCTCTGTCCCTTTATCTGTCTGTCCCTATGTATGCTTAAATCTTTAAAACTATGCAACGGATTTTGATGCGGTTTTTTTAATAGATAGACTGATTGAAGAGGAAGGTTTATATCCATCCATTAAATAGTGGAGAAATCAATAATAAATTACAGTTTCCGAAGCGAAGCGAGGGAAGGTCGCTAGTAGAGTATAAGTGTATCTGAGTTGTCCTATAAGTGGATCACGGTTGTATGTTTCGAAACTTCCGCTGAAGAAAACACAGAGTGAAACAAACGGAAGACTGTAGTGATGAATGACTTACGAAGCTTTTCAGTTTTTATATTCTGACTTTTAAAGAAGTCATTAACTCTCCGCCCAAAAAGTGCAGTTGAGTGGGCGCTTTATATGTTTTTATAGAGCTGGCTTCAAAGATATGTTTCAAAATGGCCTTGTTTAGCTACCAAATTATTGATTATATTTAGATCTCTTCAGTCTCGCTTAGATATTGGCGGGAAAAATTATCTTCGTTTTAGGTTATAATTACGTAATAAATGTAAAATCTATACTTGTTATGGAAGATTTTTTGAAAATTTAGTTGTAATGCAAACTATAATCGAAATAATCAACGTAGTTTAATAATAGCTCCCAAATTACCGTCTTGTCTCAATTATGCTCTTAACTTAAATACCCTAGCTTAGTAAATGAATTTAATTAATCAAAAAATAACAAGGTAAATAGAAACACAATTGATATCTTAAGATGTATTCATCATGACCATATAATTATACATTTAATTGTCACGTAATTTATTAACATACCTACTGTATTGAAAATTAGATGTATATAACAACTACATGGTCTTCGTAATATATCGTGATCCTAATGTCGATTTTAGTACGATATGACATTTTTATACAAAATAAATTAAGCTCAACAAAATAGTTAAAGAAACACGTAATTCAGCCGAGGCTATACCTAAAAAGGCAAAGCAAGTGTTCTCAATTCGAACGCAGTGTCGGAGTCAAGGTATACGTCCTTAATTGTACAGTACAGTATGAACGCACTTGGAACAGATGCTAATAAATCGTTTGCAAAGATTAACTGTCGATAATGAATCACACTACAGTTAGATGTCAATGCACTTCACTTTGCACGAAACAGCAACGCCGACGCAAGTCGTGGACGCCGCAGACCACGCTTAACTGCTGAACACAGGCGAACCGGCCGGGTTTTGTCGAAAATAGCACCCGGCAGTGAACCGGGACACCCCGATGACGAATTCCGCAACACTGCTGTTCCTTTGTTTGTCGTGTCTCGGATATCGTATTACAATATTGCCTTTAAAATATTCTAAATTGATGCAGGGCAAATTGACTATTCGCCTAGAAATTCGGATTACGTCTGAAGGTGAAAATATGTTTACAACCCACAGCAAAACGCAGTGTGGTGTTGCCAAAATTTTGGATAGCCATATTAACTAACATCAATGTTTTTGGAACTATGCCAGGTGTTAAGGCAGTATTTTACAATACAATAACATTATAAATGTTTGAATAGATCTAGATGTTTTGTCAGTAGGTAAATAGGTTGATACCTTTTGAAACTGATACATCAGTGTGTATAGTGAAAATTTAAAGGCAGTTTATGCATTTTATATCGTAATTTGCACAAGTATCAAGATTTCAATGCAAAAATCTATATTGATTGCTTTTATTTAGATAAATAATAGGTAAATGAACATGTACAAGCTCATGAGCCATACTATGATCTTAAACTGGTGTTCACAGGCTCCATAATTAAAATACCATATATGTAAGAGTTATGGCCCATTTCGTAACAATAGTAACTGGCATTTTAAGGATGAATAGACAATTCACGGCAGAAATACTTAGGTTGTCTTTTCATCAATGAGGAAATAGCTTAACTGCTTTGGCTTCAAAATTAACAAATAAACTCTTAAAAGGAAGAGCTTCTTAGTCCAGTATACTGCTGTCTTGAAATATAAATAAACCATAATATTTCCTTTTTTATTTAATTGTTGAATATCAATTTACTAATATTTACTAGTATTCATTTCAAATGCAACATTTCTGAACATTTTAGAAAACTAATGTTTGTTAATAATAATACACTATTGTGTTATTTTAAAAAAGAGAACATTGGTTTATGGTAAACCAGTATTTTTGAAATGTTGTAAAAACAAATAAAATTTACTCAGAATTTTCAGATTCTGAAACTGAATTGTAACTGTAATTAAATTCAAAATTTAATCCAAATTCATTAATGAGTATTTAGGTAATTTTTATTAAACAATATTTTTAGGCATGCTGGCAGATTCTTTCATTGGGAAAGAATTTTGGGGAGCAATGAATGTATATAGGCTAATGATGCTGATACAGCAGGCATAGGATCAGTATCAAATTTGTCTTTAGAAATATTATAGTGAGTGCTTCTTGTTAAAATACTATTAATTCAAACTTCTTTTACTTTACAGTCGCCGGGTCTACAGTACAACTTTAAACTAATTGAAAATTCATTAAAAAGTGAAATAGGAACCATACAGCAGACATAATTGAAAGGTAAAATAAAGATAAAAGATGAAATGGGATATTAAACTTTGCATCTTAATCATGTCACTATAAAACCATAAAAATATTACTTATAATTTTGTTTTCAAAGAAAATGCTGGGGGTTTCGTCTTTTTTTTTATTGCCTTTGTAGGCAGACGAGCATACGGCCCACCTGATGGTGAGTGGTTACCGTCGCCCATGGACTTCAGCAATGCCAGGGGCAAAGCCAAGCCGCTGCCTAAAAACTAGTATATTATGCGTGTGACTTGTTATCCTTATTTGAACGTGAAGTCTGGATTTACATAAGTTCATGTAATATTGAATTACAATTGTTGTTCATGTTCACATGCACTTTAAAAATAAGGAAAATAATTTATCATTTTGATATTGTTTTAGTATTTCAATTTGAAAGCTTTATACAGAAGTAAAGGCTTAAAAAGCAATGTTATACTTCGATTCATTGATAATTTCTGAAGATCGACATTTTTTTTAAATAGAAAAACTTCAGGATCATTTTTAGAACTGTTACTATCGATATGAAATGAGGAAAATAAGTAATGACAAGATAAAGTTACTATGGGATCCACAACCTGTTGCTATCACCATTAAATGATTTTAATCTAAGTAGGTACATACATATAATTTTAAATTATCTGCTAACAAAGAAAAATATTCAAAATTTTTCAAATATTTTTTTATAAATTTTCGAGACTTACATGACCAGTCGGGAGATTATAGACGATATCATATTAATTTGTTACATAAGAAAAATAATCTTAATAAACCACAATAATAATCATAGCAAAACACAAGCGCTTGATAAACGTCTAGTCTGCCATGTTGATTTTCAGTTGACTTGACATAACTTTGACAACTGTTTTGGTCACGTGACCAAAAATCAATGTTGGTGTTGGGATAATTATTTTTGTGCTAATAAGTCTGTAAATTGTGAGATTATCAACAATGGATCAGCCATTTACGAAAAGTAATCAGCTAATAATTAACTTAAAATAAAATTGGATAAATTAATTTACGTCGCGACAAGAGTGCCATCTGTTGATGATTTAAAAAAAGGGAAATAGAAATAAACTTTAGGATTTCCTTGAGGGTTTGAAACGCTTTTGTGTAGTGTGATATTGTGTGTGAGCGTGACTTATTATGTTTTTTAACATTTCAATACAATTAATATGAATACCTAACTTACTGCTAAAGATCATTCACCTCGCTCCATCTATCGTTGAATAGCTTTTTGTTCTAATCTTTGAATAGAACAAAGAACATAGATTAATAATTTGGACATTTTACATGAATTTCAAATACTGAAAAATAAGAAAAAAACAATTAATAAAAAGCTTACATTGCAGATTGAATGATGTTAAAAGTACCAGAACTAAATATTTTGTAGTGCCACCTCAAAATCTATTTCAATTCCTTAAATTAGAAAACTCTAACGTGATAAATGTTTTTTTACCTTAGCGCAAAATACTTGTTTCGTACCAGATCATCAAAATAAATTGATACAAAGAACGCCATCTGTAAGTATTTAACAATACTAAAACCTATTCAGAAGCTCTGTGATCGACTATATCAAAATCCAGCTTGCCTCAAAGGAAACTCGGGAAATAGTACCATCTAAATTTGGTAAGATAATATCGGCCTCAATATAATTCTGTAGTTTTATAAAGACACCCGACTTCACGAATGTTCAACTGTTCCACAGCATTTTCAATTTAAGCGCATAATACCATTAAAACCTGCTGTACAACTGAATGTTGTACGTTCGTTTGTCACGTTGTTTCTCTTCATTCTGTGAAGAGTATGACGTGTAGTGTGTTGAACGTTAAGTTTTTAACGTTGTGTAGTTTTCAAAAGTGAATAATGTGATTGTGTACTTCGTTATGGCCTATAAATATCGTGAAGATCTAGTTGGCAAACGATTTCTCGCAGTGAGTGGTTTAACTAAAATTAATGTGAATAGAGTTTCCGAATGGGGNTTGTCACGTAGTTTCTCTTCATTCTGTGAAGAGTATGACGTGTAGTGTGTTGAACGTTAAGTTTTTAACGTTGTGTAGTTTTCAAAAGTGAATAATGTGATTGTGTACTTCGTTATGGCCTATAAATATCGTGAAGATCTAGTTGGCAAACGATTTCTCGCAGTGAGTGGTTTAACTAAAATTAATGTGAATAGAGTTTCCGAATGGGGTTGGAAAGCTGGTGTTATCAGAGCAGCATCACTCAGAGATAACAAGAATAAGGAACTCCAGGTAAATAGAATACCTTCGGAAAAAAACCCACTTAAATTAGTTTTAGTTTCATTCATGTTTTTATGTAACTTGTTATGATTATCCCGGAAATGGTCTTTGAACTCGCGCTCTCGAAATACGAGCGATCTCGCAGTGAAGAATTTACCTTTTGGCCAATTTCCATAGTTTTATTTTTGCACAACCATGTTCGAAATTATTATTAAGAAATATTATAGTATTCGTACGTACATACCTAGCATAATAATTTCTTTGTCCACTTATTTTTGTTGTACGTTTTTAATAAATATATAGTTTGACCTTGGCTCGGAATTCTACCTGTGTAGGTAGTTGATGATATTTTTAGTACAGTTGCGCATAAACCTCACACGTCTTGTTAGTTACGCTTTTTAGTTTATCAGTTAATTGGACTGGCTCTCGGTCCATTTGGTCATAAATGGCTACCAAAACACATAGCAATTATCCCTCGCTACCGTTAAAATCAGAACGCAGTTTTCTTCATTGCAGAAATGACGAGTATTGTATTATTAGTTTACACTAAACCCTTCGAGATAAAAAGAAGTCAAACAAGGTCTATTTTGCCAACAAAATAAATATTAATGGTTTGGCGCCAAATCAGATTTTTATACTACATATTTTTATTGAACCATGAATAGGTATATTTGGTTTCTTTTGTTTTCTTCATTCTTTCACGTACACGTATAATGTGCTAGCTTTTTTTCGTTGTGTAAATTTCAAATTCATCTATCCGGTATGGATAGTCTGCAGACTACAAGTAAGCTGGCTGGTTTTGCAGGCGGATCGACGAAACATATAAGTCGTAAGGGTTCGGTTTTTTCGCCATATGTCTTTGTATGAACTAGGCAATCCTAAAAAGCATAAATGCAACACGGCCGTTTTTATTTTCAATGTTAATTTAAATAACTAAGTTACTAGCTGATAATGTCGGAAATTGTTACAATTAAAAAGCAAGAAGAAACCGCGTCATGTTCCAGGCAAATAGTTATTCCTAAGAATTAGAAAATTTCTGCTTCTTGCTTTGAGCCAAAAATTGAGCTCTGTGGTCATATTTAGACAATCCTATGTCCAGCAGTGGACGAGTGTGAGTTGTTAATGATTTTGCGCAATAGTTACAAAGCTATCAAATTCTTGTTACGACGATTTTGCTAGAGGAGAGAGGCAATTCGCTGGAGAAATTAAAAAAGGCGGTTTATGATTCGCATAAATTTACTACATGTTAAATTTATCAATAGTAAGGACGTTGGGACGCATGGTTTAGTAATTATTTGAAAGTTTTCAATTATCTCAATCGGTTATGGGAGTGAAGAGAACTAAATGCATAAGGCGCTGGGTTCAGTGACCTCGCTCTCACCGCGTTCGATGCACCGACCGCCCGCCGTCGGCCGTATGCTGTCGACGAGTCCGACCCAAGCTCCCAAACTTGTGTTCGTTGATTCTTGCTCTAAAGAAAAAGAATAGAGAGACGAAAAGATTTAACGATTTAGCTCGATACTCGAATTGAAATTTCGGATAAAATAAAATATTTATTTTAACTTTCATTTGACTATTAAAATATGTTCGTTACTTTGATAATTAAATAATTTAATATTGCTAAGAAAGGTTTTTATATGAGTCGCAAGGCTGAGCTGCTTTTGGGTGGCCATCCCGTTTTGACTTCAAGTAATTACATAATCTTCCAAATAGTAATTAAATAAATAATAAATTCCAAAGAGATGGTGCGACATCGTGAGCCGCATCAAGTCTGCCCCTTCCAATACTACATGACGATCACGACCACTCTGTCAAGAGTGACCCGATTGAGAAGAAGAAGAAATAGTAATAATAGTTAATACAACCAATATCTACTAAAGAGTTAAACTATACTGTTTTGAAATTAAAATGTTGTTGTATATGTTTATTGTACTTTAATAACCAAACAGAATTATCACGATAAGTTTTAAATGGTAATAGGTTGTTAATCTATGTACTTATGATTTTTATAATCAAAAAGCCATTACTAGTCAATGTTTCCAGATGTCCTGTCTGCAAATGTTGACATATGAAGTGAGTTTCTGCGCGAATTATGAATGAATTGGCGAAAGCGTGCTTACAGGTGGATGTAAAATAAAAAATAAAGACTATAGACTCCTTTGTTTGTTTTGTATAAATTATACAAAATTTGAATTCAGGCTTCGACATCTACATAGCGGTGGGCATGAGTGTTTTCGTTCATAAAAACATGAATGATTAGCATCGCCGATATAAAACAAAAGGGTTTACATTCAACATGAGATTTTCTACGAATACGAACCCCGTAGGATTCAAGACTTGCTTTCCAAAATAAACGTAGGCTGTGATGATTTCTTCAAAACATGTTTTTGCAAGGCGTTTCCGTGTTCTATTGGTATGGCTCACAAAGTTTGCTCTTCGCTTCTCAATTCAAATTCCTCAATACTCTTCAGGCTTAAACACGAAGGTTTGCTATTCCTCAACACTTAACTCGCTAGGATCCTGTGGTTCGGTACACGGTTTCCTAACACTTTCAGAGTGTGACTGTTTCCCCCGGTGTCGTTTATACATGCTTTGTAATGTAGAACGAATCACATTTACTTTTTGGAAAACATAACTTTGATTGCAACCAACTTCAATCAACACTATAATCACTATTTTTACATTACTTTTATATTATAATTAACCATCTTTGTAATGTTGTTTATTGTATAGAATGAAAAAATATAAAGAGTACCCTTTTTTGAAAATCAGTGTATGAAGTAAAAAGGTCGTCATATTAGTATGTGTTTGTGACAAAGTTTTAACGGTGTAATATTTACAATATCATATTAAACAAATAGATGGAGGTGGTGAACTAAACTTTCAATTAAAAAACAGTAGACATTACAGAAAGTCAGGAAAACAGGATTTTCATCATTTTGTCGCGTTTTCTTTATCTGTATACAGTTATTATTAAACAAATCATTTTATTGTGTTGAATTGCTGTTCGTAAAATTATATTATATAATTTATTGGCAAGTTAATCTTTTGACTTTGTTTAATTCGCTCTTCGTCAAGAATTACTCGTTTTAAGGTAATTTACTTGAGAGCCTTGACCAATAATTATATTAACCGATAGCAATCTGCATTTCAATTATGTTGACGCATAAACATCGTTAGGTATAGAAAAAAACATGTGTATAATCAGTTTATTATCAATGTCAAGATCGAATTTTTTTTTTAAATTTCGAACACACACTTTTTTAATTCTAGCAAAAACAAGAATTTATTTTCACCCAGGATTACCATATACTCACAAAGATTTTGACCGCAAAGGAGAGGAAAACTCAAGCTACGATAAAAACATCTTGTTCGTCATTCCCTTGGCCCACTAAGCAGGGTCGGCACAACATGTGGTCGTAACCATTATACCATAACATTATAATATAGAATAGTATGTATAGTATCCGATTTTGTAATAATGTATACAGATTACGTAGAGGCAGATGATGATTATTTATTTATTTAAGCTTCATTGTACTTACGCGTACCTCCTGCGTATTTCAGCTGTAAAACATGTTGTAGGGAATCGTTGTACAGTAAGATTGTGACTTCGACAGTATTCACGTTGTGATTTTTGCGCTATTCGCTATCTTCGGTAATCACTGAACACAAGAATTATGAGTGCGTCGGCTCAACAAGAGTAATGAAATAAATATAAACAGAACCTGTTATGTTATAATGTGATTAAATTATAGTTTATTTTCATTATAACGGCTGGTTTTTTAAAAAATAATAATGATACTAATACAAAAGTTTGTACCCGCGATTTCATACTCATAAGTGGGAAACCGACTTATATTAGTTGCTCTTGGTTGCCATAACTTTTTTTTTGGTTGTACAGTGGCTTCCATTGTACCGAATTTAAGTCAACTCGCTGTTAAATATGTACGAAATTTTAATGAAAATTGCTTCAGTACATTTTGCGCGGTAGTCCCGTTTCATTTTGCGATCACACCACCCGCCTTCTGAGCAGGATTTATCGTTGTCTTGTCTATATCGTTATTGTCGACCTGTCTATATCCCTATCATAGCTGATGAGCATAACCGATAAGCGTGATGACCACTGTAGATTATTTAAGCTGTAAGGTCGTTTGTATTCGAAGACAGTATCATAAACATCGTACATTTTTATATATACAAAAGACTTAAAATATTATAAGTAAAAAAGTATAAGTAAATAATTATAAGTCTATATAGATGGATTTGAGCTGCTCGTTTTTAACGATAATTACAAGTAATATGCTCAAAATACAGAAAAAAACTTATGTTATTGTAGGTAATATTATAATTGTAATTTGTAAGTCGAATTCATGTATTTACTTGTAGTGTTGGAAATAGACATTTCAAACATGATAAATATACATAATTTTAAAATGAGAACTGCATTTATTATTTGAAATGCTTACATCCAGTCTAATATGACATTTGTGTAGGTACATCGTTATTTACATTGTAAATGCTGTAATGATTATGATAATAATAATAAACCTATTCTGATAACACAAACCTAAATGATAGAGAACGGCAAGATGTTACTACAAAGAATTACCATTTATTTTATTTTATTAATAGACACTATTGTAACGCTATATTTTAAATTCTTGATTTCCGTTACAATTAAACACGCCTCAAATACTCGTCGTGTCAGTCGAGTCATACTGTCGCGTTCCAACAAGAAGAGCTATTGTCGACCGGTCACAGAGACTTACATTACACAAAATCAAGGCACACGACAAAAGCCAACTCGGGCGGTGATGCGTTCGCACCGCTGCAGCGTTCCTCAGATATAAATAGAAGACATATCTTTGTTTGTACCACTGCAACGGTGTGCGCTCTCCCGCCGAGTGAGGCGCACCAGACCAACTTCGAGAGTCCGCTATAAACGCNAGAGCTATTGTCGACCGGTCACAGAGACTTACATTACACAAAATCAAGGCACACGACAAAAG